CTTACTTAAAACAGTAAGACTTCATCAACAATGTAAAACCATTCACTATATTGAAACCCAAATGTCTCAGTTAATAGTTAACAATATATTTTCAATCAATTATTCAGGACAATTCTTTCAGAAAAAAAAATTGATTTTCTCATGTACTAGGAGAACCCTAAACAAGTAAACAACCAATCGCAGTCCTCTTCCCAACAGTTCTCAACAAGAAATTCTAACTTCGAAGTCGGGACTTCAAGGAAAATTATAACCCGAAGAAGGTAACAAGAACAGCCAGTGTCCGAAAGAATCGACAACATGAAAAACAATACAAACAAGCATAAAAAGCAACAAATAACACAACCCTGTAACAAAAGGGTGTGCCAGAGGATTATACTCAAAATACGGTAACTATAAAAAACACACACATACCTAAACAAATATGGCCGTTGCTGTAGATATGGGGATGCAGCGGAGCCGGATGCAAGAATATGACCTGTAGAACCGTTAACAATAGAATAATAATAGCAGTGAACAACAGACACCGATGCAGATTAAATATTAAATTGTGCAAGGAAGGGGCAAAAGAGGAACCTGGGGAGCTTCCATAGGGTAATTCTCGGGAAAATCGACCTGAAGCTGGTAGGTCTCATTGGCGTAAAGTGTCCCGGGAGCTCCAGTGACTTCAACAACCCACCTTCCAGGGAGGAACAAAGCAAAGTGGGGGAAAGAAAAAAGAATGCAAAGGAAGAAGAGAAAGAGGAAATCAAAGCATAAGAAAACATGTTGTGTAAAAGTGAAAAAAGTTAGGTGGATTATGAGGGGTAATTAGAAGAATCCGATACCTCTGGAGATTATCGGTGACTTTGTGCTTGAAACCAGTTGGGGGATTGACCTGCCACTCCACCAGCTCTTTCTGGAGCCTATTGCAGGCAATCTTACTGAGATTCTAAAACAGCCACGATCCCAATTCAAACCTAAGAACCGAAAAACGAACAACCAAGAAAGACAATCGAAGAGCGAAAGGGGTTAGGGCTAACCTTGCGAGCGGCACCAGAGGAACTAGTCATGATTCTTCCGCGTACACGAATGGGTACAGGAACAATTCTCAATGAACAAAGAAGAAGAGATTCACCACTGAACCAATATATATATATATACACCTATATTATGTTTTGTGTGTGTTAAATAATAAAATGTAAATGAAGAAATGCCCCAGACATAAAACTTTATTACACTCTGTTAATTAAAAAAACATTTTACACCATAGTTTATTTTAATTAAATTGTAAGTTTTATGGGACATTTTTCTTTTTCTTTTAAGAATTGTTTGTTTATGACGTACATTCGAAAATATGGAAAGTCAAAGGTCTCCATAATTATTAATAATGGTAAGAAAAAAGAAAGTTTGGTTAGATTACTAACGCGCATCTAGGTGCTATTTTGATGTAAATTTTTCTCTCTGTTTTCCCTTCCACATAAGATATTCCAAATTCTTTTGCCAAGACACATTCCAAAATGTCACTATAATCCATCACTACAAAATAAAAATAACATATTTACTATGATTATGTTTATTGAAGTTTTCTATCAATTAATCTGTTTAAATGAAACGCCTGATCCTGTTTTATAACTTTTTTTATTTGTCAAATAAATTACAATATATAGAAGTTGTGGGTTTAAAACTTTCTACTAACACACACAATATTGATAACTAACCTTTATGGATAAAAGAAATTGATGTTAGATATTGGATTCCATGAAAAACAAAGTTTAAAATATTATTCATGACAGAATTCAATAATAGAAACTATTAATTAAAATGTGAACAGTATTGACTGTTTGGTCGATCAAACATTCCTAATTTTTATTTTTTTTATTTACTATCTTTTTTATACGATCAATTGTCGTGAGACCGAACTGTTAAAGAAATCAATGATGTAAATCAATATTAAAAGTCACTTATAAAAAAAATCAAGGGTTAAATATGTTTTTAGTCCCTCAACTATCAAGCGATTTTGTTTTTCGTCCCTATTTCAAACTTTTAACGATTTGATCCCTCTCCTTAAGGAAATCATAATTTTTGGTCCTCACAAACTAACGCCGTTAAATTTAGTCTCACGTGGCTAACGGTATGCCACATATGATACTAGCTTTCACATTAATATTGTGCCACGTGGTGTGCCACTATTCACCACCCTCTTCTCCTTCTCTCCTCTTCCACCACCACCTTCCCCTTCAACTTCGTCCTCACACAAGCCGCCACCACCAACCCCTCGCGCTAGCCGCCGTCGCCAACCGTGAATCACGTGCTGCTGCTGGTTGGGGGAAGGCGACACCGGCGATGAATAGTGGAGCGTGCATTGCAATTGTGCTGGTGATTACTCTGTGGAGATTTCGTGGTCCTTCACCGAAGGGATTCGGGATGCGTGTGGGAATTTCAGCTTCGGGGTGGTGATTTTGATTTCGGAGATTAGTGTTGTTGGTGTTGCTACTGGCGACGACGAGGGCGTGGATGGAAGTGGGTTTCTTGCTGACAATAGCGTACTTACTGTGTTCCTCCACGGTTTCGAAAGCGAGGTGGCCAACCAGCAAGGTCACCATCTTGTGCTGAGCGAAAAGGTCCTGAGACTTAGGGTAATTCGCAGCGAGCTCCGACACGGCTCGTTCGCGGCTATGGGAGGGAGCCCCCCGAGGTACTCACCGCCGGCGTCGCCAGCCGAGACGCGGAGGAGCCAGGAGACGTCGCCGACGGAGTTTTCAAGGTGGGAGGAGACCTTGCGGAAGGCGGCGCTAGGGTTGAGTGTAAACACGCGATTCATGAGAGCGTTGCCGCGACACTTGAGGACCAGGGCAAGAGCCTTGTCGAGGACCTGTTCGGTCTCTTCGATGATGCGGCGCGTGGGACGCTCGTAGAGTTCGGAACTGGCCTGACGGAGCAGCGAGGGGTTGGTGGTGGCGGGCTTGTGTGAGGACGAAGTTGAAGGGGAAGGTGGTGGTGGAAGAGGAGAGAAGGAGAAGAGGGTGGTGAATAGTGGCACACCACGTGGCACAAGATTAATGTGAAAGCTGGTATCATATGTGGCATATCGTTAGCCACGTGAGACTAAATTTAACGGCGTTAGTTTGTGAGGACCAAAAATTATGATTTCCTTAAGAAGAGGGATCAAATCGTTAAAAGTTTGAAATAGGGACGAAAAACAAAATCGCTTGATAGTTGAGGGACTAAAAACATATTTAACCCAAAAATCAATGATGTAAATCAATATTAAAAGTCACTTATAAAAAGAAAGTAATAATCAAGTTTAATCCAGTTTACTCTGTGATTAAGTTGATATAAACAAAAATCCATTAAAAAAATTACAAATTCAAATTTAAGTAAGTTGATTGACCATACATTAATTAAACATTTATTACCATACTTTACTATTAAAACATCTTTGAAAGGTATCTGAGTGATTGAGGCAAAAAAAAATCTTACAATGAAACATGAAGACATGGAGTATTTATACAACACACTTTTATAAATGCTCGACTAACCTAAATAAAAAATTTCACATTTAATAGAAAGTTATAAGTTATATGATTTGTTGGCTTTTTTTTATAAGGATTATACCTTATAAATACACATTTTAAAATAAATATTAAATGTTTAGGGAGAGTGGAATGAGTTACATTATTTCAATCTATTACATTTTGATAATTTGATTACTTCTTTTTCCTTTATTTATTTTTCCAACAGTCTTTTTCTAATATTTTACTTTGGATATTTAATTAATTTTTTACAACTTTCTTACACTTTATTTGTTGGTATATTTTATCTTGAATTTCCTGCACATATATTTGCAAAATTTCCTTTGCATCATATATTTTCTTGAAATTCCATATTTTTTTTTTCTATTTGATGAGTATTCATTGCAACATTGTACTCTCTAATAAGTATAACCTGTATCCGCGACTAGTACCTGTGAGTATTTATTACCTGCGGATTGCGGGTATTTCAAAATCCACTTATAAACGGATCGAGTGCACGTAATATACTACCAATCTCACCGATATCCTTTATCCGCAAAAAATAAAAATAAAAATTTAATTTATATTTTATTTAATTAATTTTAATTTAAAATAAAATTAATTTATATTTTATTAAATAAAATATATTTTATTTTATTTATATTAAATTATATTTTTTTTTAATTTTATTTAAAAAAATTATCAAATATTTTTTTTAATATTTGAAGTATTTACGAGTATTCACAAATTTGTTTTGAAACCATTACCCGCACAGGTAGCGAACAGATTACGGGTGAAGTTTTCAATTTTGTGAATCAAGTTATAGATATATATTATCCATACCTGACCCGTTCCTATTCTTAGAAAATATTTTTAAAAGAATAAATTGCATGTTTTAAAAGAAATATAATTTATTTCACTGTAATTATGTAATTTATCCTTCTTCTTAGAAAACAATGTTCAAGAGAGTTATGTACTAGATTGAATGATTCTTCTAAAAAGACATTTTGAATTCTTAATTTATCATGGAAGTGTTGAAATATTTGATAGTATATCACTTCTTTCTTCCTTGATTTTTGTAACAAAAACCTTTCAAAAATATCAATACTTTTACAATATGATTTAATATATCTCTCTTTTATTCTGTTATCTTCTTAGATATTATTGATTATGTAAAAGTTATTCTCTTGTTCAAAATAAAATAAAATTGTGGAGCGAGATTAATTTTAGTTAAATTGAGCGGTTGGGGAATCTTTTTTATGATTTTTCCCCCTAGTTGACGCCTTGCATTGACTTTCCCAAGTTGAGCACTGGCAATTTCAGCCTCCAAAATATGCTTATTCTCATGGCAATTTCTGGTTTGAAGATAAGCATATTCCACGCGTGATTAGTGGAAAACTTACATCACAGTTTGTGCTTTAGCAAAAACTTTGGGTCAAACACTGCAACTCGTTTAATGTAGAACTAGCAGAAACTTTAAGATAGGTTTAATAAAGTAAAGAATCTCACGAAAGATAATCAATCTAATAAAAAGTAGGAAAATGGTAAATTACAAGTGTTACGAATTCACTGCATAACACAATTAATTATTATGACAATGTAACAGAACACTTTTAACATTGTCTCACTTTTAGGAAGTGTGCAAAAACATCAACTTTTGCACATGAGCTTATGATTATGAAGTGAGAGAGTGAGGAAGAACTTTATATGGGTTGAGTATGTGATTGGGGTCCATCAAATTCTTGATCGAAGCCATCAGTTGCACCTGTTCAGTTTGATGCTATTTCAGACATTCACTCATTTCACAACTTCACATTATGAAATAGAAAATGCAACTTGAGTCAATAGTAAATTAATAACATAATATACATACAGTTTCACTTGATTTGCTGTAGTAAATCTTGTTGGCTTTCATTAGTCCTATACCATGCTCAGCGCTAATACTCCCTCGGTGCTTAGATGTCCACTCATATACAAAAGGTTCAATTTGTGACAAAATCTGCAAATTTTATCACTGATAATGTCATCGAAAGAAAACTTTCAAAACCAAACGGTTACATGCTATGCTAGAGCTACCTTGTCATCATAATGAGGAGTAGAAACGTTCAAATGCAAATTACTATCTCCAAGGTGACCATATCCAACTACATTAGCTGTGCTACCTACAATTCAAAAATAAAATACAATGTCATTCCTGCATGCACGGTTGTGATGAAAGAGATAACTCATCTTCCATAAAAGCCATAGACTTTTTTCTATGACAACTAAAGGAATCAAGCATATATTTTCTACATTATGTCTGCTAATTTCCCTCTGAACTATTCCACAAACTTAGAAAACAAAAATATGACTACATGGCAACGTTAGTCTGTTCCTTACCTAGTCTAGAGCGCATTTCTTCGACAAGACTGTACATGTGTTCAAGAGGTATTGATAAATCATACTTGTAAACAGCTCCTGCTCTCATCAAAGCCTCTGGTATACCCTGAAATCAGTAGATAAAATCTAATAGAACCAAACTCAGCAATAGTGTTTTTATAAAACGATTAAAAATTCATATAAAATTAAAATTTAAAATTACTTATGACAGATTATTGCTGAAAATAAACAGAAGAATAACACTTTTGGGGGTTGAAGGACATCCTCTTCAAATTCCTTACAAAAATAAGAAGATGAATCTAGAATCTACGGCGTGGCAGTTATGTTTCTTCCACTCAATATGTTTAAACATTTATGTATTTTGTAATCAAGAGTATACACTTAAAAAGCACCCACAAGTGTCAAATGACAACAGCTGAAATCAGAACAAATATGGTCAACTTGGCCCATAAAATGAAAAATAAGAATATTAGCACTATCAATTTAGCAGGAAAGTCATTCCAAGAGTAAAATGTACGAAATGATGTAGAAAATTTGTAGTGAAACGAAACCTTGTCTAAATGAAACCGCTTGTAGAGCATTAATAGCCAAACATATGGATAGTAAAAGCGAGTAGATAGTCTCATATGGCATTGGTGTAAACATTCCAAATGCGATGTGTATAGCTGACCTAACTTGGTCAGGCTTTTTCATTTTCAAAAATGAAGTGTGAATTCAAGAAAGGTAAAAATACTGACTGCAAAAATTAGAAAACCAGCCAAGAAAACAGAAAAGTAGAACATGGCAGGGATATATGCTTAATTTTGAAAAGAGCTAAAGCATATTTTCAAAAAAAAAGATAATAATGCAGTGAAAAATGTCAACCTCACGTAGAAGCCAGAATGATGATGCTTGATTTATGTCTTGTGCAAGAACACCATCTGATATCAATTCATTCTCCATGGAGCCGAGTAGAAATGCTTCAAGCTTTTGTCTACAGGTGTCCAAATAAAGTCACATCATATGTGAAGGTATTTAATTGCATGCTCATATTGACAACTTAAAAAAATAACTAGAAAAAAAATGGAAAATAAGTTAAGGAACGTTTTCAGGCAAATTTTAAAGTTCATACTTCATAGCACACAAAATTTCATTTGGATGAATTCACGAGGCTGTAAGTGAAATTATGGAGGATTAAACATTTCAAATAACTGTCCTCTAATCACTTAATCATTAGACTCTGGCAACTCATTCTTCCACAACCTCCTAAGAAAGTAGAAGTAGCTTTTAATGCAAGTAGAAGCCGGAGAAGAGAAGGAACAAATCTACAATTAAACAAATCCAATAATGTAACAAATTACACTAATCTTTGTTGAAGGCTGCTAAAATACAATTTAAATGGAAGTACATGACTGATCAAAAGTCAGAACAGCAGAAAAACAATGTAATTTACTCTGCTAAATGAATAATTGCCTCATGTTAAAATGCAGGGATTTATATTCACGCACACAAAAAAAAATGCATAGACTTTTTACTTGTCAGAGGATTCATCACTGCCTGTTGTCTCAATCAGAACATAAAAGTTATGCAATGACGTAGGTATCGGATTTCGTGCACCTTCCAGGTGATTTAACACCTGTCAGAAAACCAATCAAATCAGGATGACCATGGACAAACCAAGGGGAAAGAAAATAAAGTCACAAAGTTCTGATTATTTTCTCAGTTGTAAGACCTGGGATTTTATAGCAGTAATTTGTCTAGATCTAAAACAAATAAATCAATCTGAACTACTAGAGTTGTTATGACTGGAGAAAATTGTAAATATTACAATGATCAGATACTACAAACCAGTTCGTGTAACGTTCATGATGAATTCCATGATAACACAAGGAAATATTTGGAGGCCAGTTTTTGAAACCATAGATCAAAGTCAATGCTCAAGTTCCAAAGCATTTTATGCCTATATCATAGTATTGGCCAGAACTTCCTAATATGTTTTTTCATTGTGTTTATCGAAGTCTGGTTTATGAAGTCTCTTTTACGTCTACCTTCCGTTGACTACAAATATTTTGCATGTATGTGACATTATGCAAGTGGCAAAAGGGAAACACATGCATGACTTCCTACATAATGAGTATGGGGACTTTAACTATTTGAGATGTTAAAGCTAATCAAAATAGCATGAAAAACTAAAAATCCAATCAAAATGCAATTTCATCAAGACCCACTACCAATTTTTTCTATAGTCTCTATCTTCCGTATCTACCTACTAAGTATTAAAATCACTACAAGACATGCAAATTTGAATTTTTTGTAATTTGTGTACTTTATGTTATAGTTATTGTTCTGTTTTTTACTCCTGTACCAAACATCTCATTCTCACCTCACCAGAGTTGCGACTCTTTTTTTCAGTATCTCACAAATTCAGAATACACAAAAAAGACACAGCTACATGCTTATGCACTGTAGCCTCAACAATTTCCAAGACACAGAATTACTAAAGTATCATTTGCACTCTTGTACATGGGTAGCTGGTAATATCAAGCATAAAGTTAACACTAAACATAAAGTTATATCAAATTTTAGCATATGAGCATGCACCAGGACAACTTTAAGGCATTTATAACTAGCAACCATCACACAGATTAATTTCATTATAGTATCACTTGATATTACCAAATTCATAGACTGGCTATCCAGAAATTCAAATGCAGATAAAATCTCCCCAAGTTTCCTTTTTGCTTCCTGTAGCAATTTCTGAAGCAGAGAAACAAAAGCAATCTGATAAGATGGATGCATGTTTCATTCGGAAAACAAAAGGGAAAAAAGTATTGGTGCAATACAAAAGCTTATACATGAAGAGTATGATACATATGCTTATACAAGAATTTCACCTAATTGGTAACAGAAGGTTCCTATATAATTTATTATCTGTCATTAGAGACCTAGTTTAAACATGCTTATAAAGAAGTGTTAGTGGTAAGGAAATGATAAAAAAAAAATTAATTTGGAAGACATGGCATGTTCAGTCTAATAAAAGGTTTTCTTTTTCTATTTCATGCTTTTGAAAAAAAAAAGGTTATGTTACCCACACAAATCCTAGAAAACAAAAAAAAAAATAGAAAAAAGGCCTTTTCACAATTATTTGTGAATATAAATGAAATGGAAAATTAAAACATTTTCTCAAACCAAAAAGGCACGAAGGACCCTTCATCAATGAAAAAGGAGAAGAAAAAGAAAACATATAATTCTTCCCAATCAGTCAATACAGTATTGTCCAAATAATATCAATGGCAATCAATTAAGGTAATCCACAGAAGTCAGTAAAGCAATCAATGCAGCAACAGTGAAACTAAACATATTTAAGAATAGGAGTATTGGTCATGCCTGGCAGCTGTTATAATCTTTGCAACCAAGAAAAGCCACATTTACTGCAGATAACTTCGGTGGGGTAAGTATTGAAACTTTAGTAACAATTCCCAAGGAACCTTCACTTCCTACATCATCCGTAATTTAATTTACAATCAGATATTTTACTTGTTTCGAGATTCAAAGTGTTGTTCACCCCATACCTATAAATAGATGTTTCAAATCATATCCAGTATTATCTTTGCGCAATGTCTTAAGCATGTCAAGCACGGTACCATTTGCTAGAACAGCTTCAACACCTGTAGGGCAATCAAAAGCTTGCTTCAGAATGAATATAGTACTAGCGAAAGAAAAAATGGATTGAGATGCCCCTAACTTCACAATATATTGAGAAATTCTGGTGCTTTGATACTTCAAAATGAAAATTGTTCCACTTTTCAACTGTATTCCATTCTATAAAAGACTAAATCAATACAAAATCTAGCACTTATGCACTAACTTTAGAAGTATTCAGCTAATATAGAAAAGGCAACACATTAGTTATTTTCTTACCAAGTATATTTCCATGAAGGGATCCATAGCGGACAAGACGCAAACCACCAGCATTAGTTGAGACATTTCCACCGATCTGGCAACTCCCTTTTGCACCTAAGTCTAGTGGCATAATAAATCTGAATGAAAATTGTAGACAGTTTAAATACAGAGAGCCTACATTAAAAATGTGAGTTTTAGAACTTATATGCGTATGGAAAGGGCCACTGATGATATAAAATGTTCAAGACATTAGTCATAACACCGCACTTGCACTACATAGAACTTCAAGAAAAGAACAAACCAAAGAGCAAACCTTTTCTAACATAATTTTGTTAAGTGCGGAAACCAATCAGCCTGTTTCAGAATTACTCATACAAAATATGGAAGAAAAGAAGACCATTGTTAATTTTCTTCTAGAAATAGCAAGTATATAAGATTACCCAAATTTAAAGTAAAAAGCATAAAATTACAGTTAGATGAAATTGATCCAAATTACAATAACTTAATAAAATTAAAAGGATTACCCTTCATTGTCCAGGAATGAGATTATATTTTCCAATATGCACCCAGCTTCACATACCAATATTCCACTAACCTAAAGAAGACAATGGCAAAAACTTCAGAATTAAGTATACAAACCTGTTTTTTTAATGTTTGACATTGACTTGAATTCTCGGAAGATAATTAATAAAATTCTGATACAAATGGTTGTTGCAAGGTAACTAGCACAGTTATATGTTGTTTCCTCTTAAGAGGAGAAATTGCTGCATTGAAATGTTCTGCATATGGGCATTGTTAATGATGACTCACGTGGTTTTGCTTTTATGCAGAAACAACTTTTTTAATGGTTACAAGCCAATTCAATCCAATATCCGAACACATTTATATTTTTACAAAACAAAAGACTGTAGGAAAGGGAGAGGCACTGAATTGTTGATATGGTTTAAGATAGATGGATTCTAGTTTTTAAATGACGCATATGCTGTACAGTGCTCAACAAAAATAAAGTTCTCAAAACAAGCAAGGCAAGAAGATATACACACAGAGGAAAGAGGTAGTTTATAAGTCATAACAAATATGCCTTTCAAGCAGTAGATGGTCTACCTTGTCGAAAGATATGATCTTATTCATAGAACTAAGACTGATAATGACCTGCAAAATCAGATTATAAGAAAGTTGTCAGTAATCACATAATAACGAGTTTGTTTTCTAGTACATTCAAGGTTGACCCCTTGTCAAACAAGAGAATGAATCGAGGAGTATACTTCATCAAAGACGGGCACACTTCCTCCGACAAGACCAGTGTTTCCACCTTGGGGAACAACAGCCAAGCATCTGGAATTACAATATTTAAGAATCTGAGCAACCTGCAAAACGAAAGACTCCAAAAAAAGAAGTAAACAAACCAAACTCCAAATGCTACTGCACCAAGTTCCTAAAGGGTAATTGTTCATTCTATACAATAGAGACAAAATAAATAAATAAATAAAAGAACCTCATCAGTGGTCCTAGGCTGTAGGAGGAGCTTACTGGAGCCTTTGTATTTATGCATCCAATCAGTGTTTGAAGTGACAAGCCTGTCCTCATCCTGAACAACATTTTTACTACCCAATATACCCTCGAAGTATCTAACATCATCATCGTTAAACTTTGAGAATCTGGGGTTCCTTTGAACCAACCCCGCCAACGATCCATAGCATTTGCGCTGAATTCCAACACCCCATTGTTTGGTTTCAACGAAATTTCTTACAGGGTTGAAAAAGGACAAAAGTTGCCGATCCCCGTGAACGATATTGCGCTGTAAAAGCCTGTTTTTTTCATCAAAGCCCGAGATAAAGCGAGAAGACAACCCTGCCGAAGGGAGAAGAGGTGGGTTCCTTGAGCGGTGGGGGAAGCAGCGTAAGAGGAACTGAAGTGTGGCTCTGTTATTGTGCTTAGCCATTGTTTGGGGTTTGGTGGCTTGCAACGAACAACTGCACTTGAAAGGGACAAAACCAAGTTCGTTACGTTAGCTGCTATGAAACTGGAGTGAAAAAGATGACACCGACACCGTGATGATGATGACGATGATGGGAAGTGAGGGTTGTGATAATGTTAAATAAATATTTTTTTATTGTAAATATTTTTTATTTTTATAAATAGTTTTATATTAAAAATATTTAAGTTTTTTAAATATTAAAGGGTTAAATATGTTTTTAGACCCTAAACTATTGGTCGTTTTTGGTTTTCGTCCCTCTTTCAAAATAAGGTACAATTTGGTCCTTAATCTTTTCGAAACTTTGGTTTTAGTCCTCGAAAACTAACACCGTTAAATATTTGCTGATGTGTCTAACGTCTCTGTCCACGTGTTCTTGGTTTTTTGCTGACGTGTGTTAAGTCATCTTGGGATGGAACTGATTCCTCTTTAATCTGGAATGAAATTGGTACTCAAAATCAGTTACAATTGGTGTTGGTGTTGCTGTTCTTTGTTTGGGTTTGGTTCGTGGTTCATCTGCGTGTGCATTTTCGTGGTTCATTTGTTCGTTCTTTGCGTTTGGTTCGTGAAAGAAAGGGATTTCTTTGTGGTTCGTTGAGGTGGTTCGTTGAAGAAGAAAGGTGATTGTGTGTGGTTCGTTGAGCAAGGTAATTTTTTAGTTTAAGTTTAACTTGTTTTGTCTGTGATTCGTTGAACAAGAAAAGCAATTGTGTGTGTAATGGGCATTCCGATGTGCATTGTCAGTCTAATGTGGGAAGTTTTCATTTGACCTTGTAGGAAAAATGGTTTTTGACGTGTTTTTGTATCATATGGGTAAGTTCATGAAGAACAAGGGTCTACAATATGTGGGAGGAGAGATACATGTTATTAGGGGAATCGATCCCGACATGTGGTCATACTTTGAAGCTGTGGGATTTGTTAGAGAATTCAAGTACTGTGGAGAGTTCAAACTTTGGTGGAAGGTTCCAAACAAAAGGCAATGAACAACCTCAGACCGCTGACAGATGACAGAGAAGCCATTTTGTTGGCTAACTATGCAGAGGCAAATAAGGAGGAAGTTGAAATCTATGTTCAACATGGCCAACCCAGTCAGGCAGAGGAAATTTGTTTTCTTACATTTGGTGAGGAGGCAGAGGAAGTAAGAGTACAGGAGATGGAGGAAGAGGTTGTTATGGATGAAGAAGATATTGGTGGGGTGGAGGGAAATGTTGAAGTAGAAGACTTGGTAGTAGATGACGAAGAGGGGAATGTTGAGGGAGAAATTGTGGAAGAGCAAGAGGAAGAGGGGAATGTTGAGGGAGATGAAGAAGAAGGTGAAGAAGAACATGAAGAGCAAGATGAAGAAGAAGAAGATGAAGAAGATGAAGAAGAAGATGAAGAGGGCAATGTTCTTGAGGACGAAGGGGTGGAAAATGTTGATGAAAGTGAAGAGGAGAGAATGGCAAATGGTGATGATGGGTTTGGGATGGACAATGTCACGGTAGAGGAAGAGAGAAGAAATATTAATCCAGTTTTGGATAGGTGGAAGAGAATGAAAAACAAAAATACAAATGTTAGGAGCACATTTGTAGATAGTGAGGGGGCATTTGTCATTAACGAAGAAGTTGGAGAGCATGAGATAAATGAAGTTTATGATACAGAAGAGTTGTCCTCAAATGTAGATAGTGAGGAGGATAAGAGGGACAATAAAAGGCACTTTCCAAAGTATAAAGCAGAAGATATGAGTAAGGGATTCAAATTTAGATTGGGAATGGAGTTTAAGTGTTTGAAGGATTTTAAGAGTGCCGTACAGGAGCATAGCGTTTTGAATGGAAAAGAAGTGAAGTTTGTGAAGAATGATTTGAAGAGGGTAAGGGCAGTTTGTAAGAAGGGGTGTGGTTTTGTTATTATGGCTAGCAAGGTAGGAAGTAGGCAAACCTTTAGAGTCAAAACTCTAGTTCGGCACAAGTGTGGAAGGGGTTTTGGTAGCAAAAGTGCAAATGTAGAATGGATTACACAGGTTTTGGTTGCCAGATTTGTCAATGTTGCAGGCATGACAGTGAAACAAATCATAGATGAAATACAAAAGTCATATAGTGTTGGAATAACTCATTGGAAGGCTGGAAGAGCTAAGAGAATTGCAATGGATTGTTTAATGGGTGATGGAGAACGACAATATGCTCGTCTGGTTGACTATGTGGCTGAGTTATTAAGAGTCAAGGCTGGGACCTTCAAGATTAAGGTGAATCAACCCGAACCCACCCTGCAACCAAGGTTTGGGTCATTTTACATGTGTTTGGAGGGCTGTAAGCAGGGGTTTTTAGGTAGTTGCAGACCATTTATTGGTGTAGATGGTTGTCACTTGAAGACAAGTTATGGAGGTCAGTTGTTAGTTGCAGTAGGAAGAGACCCTAATGACCAGTATTTCCCACTAGCTTTTGCTGTGGTAGAAACAGAATGCAAAGACACATGGATGTGGTTTTTGACACAGCTGCTTGATGATATTGGAGGCATAGATTGTCAAAGGTGGATCTTTATTTCGGATCAGCAAAAGGTACATTAAAATATGTAGTTTAGTTAGAAATTTATTTTGATTATGTAATACTTATTGGTGTATTATGGTTGCAGGGATTAATGTCAGTTTTTGATGATATCTTGAATGGAGTGGAACACAGGCTGTGTTTACGCCATTTATACAACAATTACAAGAAAAAATTTGGGGGAGGTTTGCTCATTAGAGACCTCATGATGGGGGCTGCGAAGGCAACATACTATAAGGAATGGGAGAAAAAAATGGGTGAGTTAAAAAATCTGAATGTTGATGCCTTTAATTGGTTAATGGGTATACCAACTAAAAGTTGGTGTAAGCATGCTTTTAGTGCTTATCCTAGGTGTGATGTGTTGATCAATAACTTGTCAGAATCATTTAATAGTACTATTTTAATGGCAAGGGACAAACCAATAATTTCAATGATGGAATGGATTAGATCATACATAATGAGTAGGTTTGCAAGCCTTAGAGAAAAAGTTGACTCATATCCTGGTGATGTTATGCCTAAACCGAGGAAAAGATTGGATATGGAGGTTGAAAAGAGTGGGAATTGGCTTCCGGTATGGGCAGGGGGTTCACAGTTTGAAGTAACTCATGGCTTTACCATGGACAAATTTGTTGTTGATTTAAGTAATCACACATGTACTTGTTACTTGTGGGATTTGGTAGGAATACCATGTAGACATGCGGTTGCTGCCATTCATTACAAATCAGAAAACCCAGAAAATTATGTTCATCCTTACTATAAGAAAGATGCCTATAGAACTTGTTATGCACCAATTATAAGTCCTATCAATGGACAACAACTTTGGCCTACATCTGACTCTCCAAAACTACTACCTCCCATTTACAAAACACCTCCTGGGAGGCTAAAAAAATTAAGAAGACGAGAAGCTGATGAATATGTCAGCCATGGAAAATTGTCAAAGACCAATACTGCTATGAGATGTAGCACTTGCAATGCATATGGACACAATGTAAGGAAATGTAAAAAGAGCCAGAAAAGCAAGGTAAATCTTCTTGGTAATGTTATTTACAAGTTGATTTATTACTTTTGTTATCTAACTATCTAACTATCTAACTATCTAACTATCTTACTCCTTTCATAGGACAAAAGGGGGGCTTCTACATCAACACCTGGATCTGCATCAAGAAGGGCTGCATCTGCATCTGCATCAGAAGGTGGAAGGGCTGCATCTGCATCTGCATCAGAAGCTGGAAGGGGGGCATCTGCATCTGCATCACAAGCTGGAAGGGCTGCATCAATTGCTGGAAAGGGGGCATCTGCATCTGCACCACAAGCTGGAAGGAGATCAGCCAGAGATGCAGGGGTTGGGGCTGCTTCTACATCACAAGGTGGAGGATCTGTAACTATGCGTCAAGGGGCAAGAAGAGCATCCTCAAGATTGGCTGCACAAATTGTAGGGTCTCAAAGGAAGTTGTAATTCAAGGATGTAATTTCAAACAATTTGTAGTGGCTGTAGGGTCTCAAGGAAGTTGTATTTAAAGTAGTGCCTGTAGTGGACCACTTTTTTGTCTTGTAGTGACTGTAACCCTTTAAAGTATGTTGGGACCACTATTTGAACGACTTGTTTATTAATCTGCTATTAGTCCCTCTGCTGTCTGCTTTGCTTTGCTTTGCTTTGCTTTTTTTTATGCTGTAATTGCTTTTAGTGGTTTTAGTCCCTCTGCTGGGACAAGCTACAATTTGGTGGCAGTTTGTGGTTTTAGTCCCTCTGCGCATTTCCCATTCTAAACCACCACTTTTGGTGCTAAAGAGCAACTCATACAGTGATTTTTTCATCTCGAAGCTTTTAGCCTCTGCTGGCAGTTACTACATGTCAAATTTGGTAAAACAAAGTTGCTAAAATCATCACATTAACATTCCAAACTCGTTTATGCAAAATTCACATTTAAACCCCCAAATTTTTAGCACTTTTTCTTATAAGTTGCAGAATTGGTAGTCAAAGCTGCTAATATTTGCAAACTATATAACACAAATGCACATAACACAACCATCAGGGCACAATTGAACTGAACTTCCACATTTTATTCAATTTAAAACTTGCTTGTACATCCACAACACAACCTATCTAATTACAATTTACCTTCAACACAAACAGAATACAAAACATGGCTGTTAATGCCCATGACAATACAAAAAACACCAACATCATTTTGAAATTTTTTCTCTCTTCCTCTAATTTCTTCTTCAACTTGTCCTTCTTCTTCCTTAGATCCAACACAACATTTTCAATACACACTTCAACTTCTTCACTCTTCCTTTGTAAGCTTCCTTCCATTTCGAAATCTCCTTCATCAACCCATTCAAAGAAGTTACAGCTTGAATTACTCTGCAAATGAAAATTACAAATCACCAATACAATATTCAACACAATAAATAAAGCTTTTATTCTCACTTACTGCCCAATTTCTACATCTATAAAATAGTCTCCCTTTGTTCTTCAATGTAGTTGCCTTCAACAACAACAATCTTTCCCCACAACCACAGTTTTTTGAAGCTAAGTGAGAGGATCCACATGTTTGGGACATTCCAGAACCTATGCTCCTTGGTGTGCAACCTCCTCTATCACCTTTCATTTCCCTTCAAAAGTGATTAACAAAGAAACTCAAGTTCGAAACCAAAACCCTTCAACAAAACCCTATATCCCCAAATCCATCCATCATTTTAAACCAAAACAGAGACGAATATGAACTTACGTGCCCAACTCCACCAATGCCGAAGAAGGTGATATCCAAGCTTGAACCTTCACTTCGTCTTTGCTCAAATCCTTCAGACAACACTTTGCAGTGAAAGTAATAAACCAAACTTTACCAATGTTGGATTAACTTTGCATTTCAGCTGTAACAACACCTCGACAGAGACGTTAGAACACGTGGACACAGACGTTAGAACACGTGGACAGAGACGTTAGACACATCAGCACATATTTAACGGTGTTAGTTTTCGAGGACTAAAACCAAAGTTTCGAAAAGATTGAGGACCAAATTGTACCTTATTTTGAAAGAGTGACGAAAACCAGAAACGGCCAATAGTTTAGGGACTAAAAACATATTTAACCCAATATTAAATTAAAAATATCAATAATACTACAAAAACGATAATTTAAAAAATAAAATTAATAAAATAATTATTTTAATTTAAAAAATGAATTTGAAAAAAATATAAACATAAAAACAAGGGTTTTTAGTCCCTAATCTATCAAGCAAATTTGTTTTTAGTCCTCATCCTCCACGAAACCTTAATTTTTCGTCCTTCAAAAATAACGGCGTTAAAAAGAAGCTAAGCTGGCTAACGGTGAAGTGTCATGTCATTTTTTTTCTAACACGGAGTTAATTTGTCCCCTACCGTTCGGTCACCATCATCATTCAATCACCACTATCGTTCGGCCATCATCATCATTTCGTCGTCATAATTGTTCGGCCATTACCAATATCGTTCGGTCACCATCATCATTCAGTCATCATAACCGTTCGACCATTAGCAATACCGTTCGGTCATTACCGTACGATGAGAGATAGATTGACTCTGTCAGAAAAAAAAATGACATGACACTCTACCGTTAGCCAGCTCAGTTTTTTTTAACGTAGTTGGTTTTTTAGAACGAAAAACTATGGTTTCCAAAAGGAGAAGGACTAAAATATACCTTACTTTGAAAGCGATAAGTGTGAAAAGAGTTGTTTTACACTTATAAATGAGCTCAATCTTGTAATTATTCATGTTGTTCCTCATTGAAAAATTGTAATAGGTAGTAGATTGTTATGTAAAATATTGTACAGGAAAGGGTGTATTATTTAAACTCTGTCAGCCAATTTTCGCAAAGCGAAAGCCAAAATTCGCACTGCCAGAAGAAAGAAATCTGCATAGCGCACTAGTACCTGTGCGCTGAGCGAATAACATCAGTTAAAGTGCATTATTTAAGAAAATTCGCATAGCGCACCAGTACATGTGCGCTGAGCCAATTAATGAAGTTAAGTGAGTTTAAAAGACGTGACAGAAAGACAGAAACAGGCTGCTGACAGAAGTTCCGCAAAAGAAACGAAAATATCTCAGGAACTTCCGGAGACTACTTCAAGCATCAAGACACCATTGTTGCAAGGATTGCTTCAAACGTGTATGTTTTAGATGACTAGGAGTCGTTAAATCCTTCATTGGGATTGGATGTAATGAACTCACTCTAATGTAATTTTCCTCCTCAATATATCGTTGTTCGTTCATATGCTCTTTCTTAAATTTATTATCATTGTATGAAAAATATAATGTTATTTGAATGTCTTTGATTACTAGAAAATAACTTTGAACATGAACGTAGATAGAGCACTTAAGTGATTTGGGATCTAGGGATAGACTCAATAACGCATTCTTAACATCAGACTTAATGCAAATTTGTAAGTTAGATTGACTAAGGGGTTATCATTTTAATATATTAATTTAGAACTAGTTGCTAAGGAATTAGAACTAGTATGACTTGATTTGAATGTTTAAATGAAGTAATGAAATATTGAACATAGTTTTATATTCATATGATTCATGAAACCCAATTCCAACGAACCAACTATTTAATAAAATACCAAAAGGAGTTTCTTGTGTTGTTTTGTGCATTTTGATGTCTAATTGAGTTATAAAAGGAAAAATTGTTGTGTTGCACAAGTCCTTTGGGAGAACGATACTTTTACTTATCCACTGTATTAGTTGGAACAATTTGGTATGTTTGCCAAAAAAATTACCAGAAAGAATAACTAAAAACAAATTCGCTAAATAGATTAAGAACTAAAAACATATTTAATCCTAAAAATAAAAACATTCTTTATATATAAATGGATTCAGTGTTAAAATATTAATAAATAATTAAATATAAAGCGTTTAATGAAATATTGAAACTCCCAACATACTTTTTAATTTTTTTTATGATAATTGTGTTTGAATAATCCCTTTTTCTCTACAATAGAATGAAGAAAAGGCACTTGGAAAAATAATTATTTGTTGATAATTACCTTTTTTAACAATTATCTAACTATGTTTTAAGCAACACAAAGTTATATTTAAATAGTAATAATATAACTATAAATGAAAAATTAAAATAAAATAATAATATATTTAAATATATGATGGATATATAAAATAATAAAGATGTTAAAGTATAATAAAGCGGCGACTCATCTCAGTTCAACACTACAACTGTTACTCCACCCCGCCATGAACGGAACTAAAAAAGGTAAAAATAATATTAAATTTTTTAAAATATGTAATAAAAAATAAAATATTACTAATAAAGATTACAATTTAACTTAGAATTGTAAGGTTGAAATGGTTGGATTCTACCAATCCAGATTAAGTTGCCGCATAAATAGATAAATAGGTATATAAATGAAAATGTAAATAATAGATAATCAAATAAAAGAGAAATGTAAAAAATAGATAAATAAAAGAATAATATCACTTTAAATGTTAAATTTATACAATTATTTCTAACTATTGTTTGCATGTTGCAAAACTTAGGGAAGACATTATAAGTTGATTTTGTTTTGGCTGTCTCACATGTTTTCGTTAGTTTTACTTATAAATCAAGCATAACAATAACAATAAGTTGATTTTATGTTCCTTGTATCACATGTCTTCTAATCTAGCTCAAGTTTATTGATTTTCTTTAAGGATCTTATCCTTTAAAAAACTTATACTCTCAAGACATCAACTATGTAAATTACGAGTTTGATTAGAATATCCTATTCGTATTGACAGGGTGGAAAATAATGTAATGTTATATATTAATAAAAATATAGAACATTAAAAGTAGTAAATTACAATGTCTTTTTTAATAAATATATTTAATTGGTTTTTTCTCGCTTTAAAATAAATTCCTTATAAAAATATATTTCAGAAAACCACTTTTTCAAACATGTTGATATCAACCTCTCTATTTGCCTTAAAGCGCGCATTTTTTATATATGTTGAGTACAAGATCAAGTTAGTTTGAATTAAACGATAATATTAAATAATTAATTTTGAATAAAATAGGTCATTACAGTCATATATAAATAATATATTTTATGAACATTTGATTTAACACAATTTATTTTAATATTTATAAATTTGTAGTTATATTTTAAATTTAATTTTTGGTACCATGTTTTTTTTTAAATATAAAAATAAAATATATAAAATCATAGTACATTACAACAATCATCATTATAATGACACATGTAAATTTTTTGATTAAAAACTCATTATATTTATTTTATTTATTCGAAACAAAAAATATTTTTAAAAAATGACTTAATATAATATTTGAATTATACTTGGTGATCGAATTCGGTATAATTAAGTCTAATTAAGCGTTTTCTTTCTACACCCCATAATTGCTAACTGCACCTCTAAAGTTCTATAATGTTCCCGATTGTTGTTCCGGAAAATACGTTTTTGAAC